TAACTTTGTTAGACTTCGTGTAGCTATCAGGTCATCAAGCAAATTGTTGAACGTGCAGACACACGCAAATGAACGTAGCCTTATTCTTGCGAGTAGTGTTCAATAGTTCCAACATTCTCCAGTGTTATAACAATTTACCTTGAATTATGAGTTTGATCTGGAGTGTTACTGTGACCAAGATGGTTTACGTGTTTAAATCAGTTTTTCTTCTGTTTGTTGCAATTGACTACCCTTTCCATCCTGTTTTAAAACAGCAGTGTAAAAAGAAATCCATTCACTTCCAATCTTTGCCTCAGGTCGATGCCAGGAACATTGATGGGAGCACTCCTCTCTGTGATGCCTGTGCTGCTGGGAACATTGAATGTGTGAAGTTACTGTTGAGCCATGGAGCAAAAGTGAACCCCATGCTGTTTGCAGCATCACCACTGCATGAGGCCTGTATGATCGGTAAGGTAAAAGAGTTGCAGGCTTTTTCTTGATTAGTCAGTAATTCAGGTGTATTTCACACAACTGAGATGAAGGGGACATTTCACTTTGCACCTCTCAATAGCAACGACAATGGTTTGCTTTTTGTAGTGTCTTTGACAGGGTATCATATGCACTGGTTTCCCTGTCAACGCAGCGGAATTTACTGCTGCTAATGTGCTGCCTCACTCGATGCCCAGTTAGTCACCCCTTGTCTACACACCACTCGCCACTACCACCACCATACCCAGCTGGCCACTCCTACCCCCACCCCACCCCCCCCTCCTCCAAACACCCAGCTTGTCACTTCTCCCTCCACAGTTATCCCCTCCAGTCTCCACCCCCCCAAACCCCGACAACCCAGCTCGTCACTGCTCTGTCCACACTCTTTCCACTCCCCTCCTGCCACCTCCTCATCTTGCTCGCCATTTCGCTCTCAATTAATCCTCCATCCCCTGACTAACCCCCCCGCCCGCCGCCTCATAAAGCATTTTGCTCGGGGAGCAGGGCAGTGAGTGAGGGAGCACGTAGGCAGTGATGGTTTGAGGGTAGGGAGTAGGGCCACCTGAGGATGGACATGAGGGGCAGCAGGTAGGTGGTGACTGGATTGGCAAATGAGATGGCACATGTGGCAGCGAGACATCAGGAGTGGGGTGGCAGTCGATGTGTCAAAAACAGTGTTCCTTGTTATTTACCTGCTATATCACTAGCACGGAGGCTGCAAGGGTGTTGAGTGCACCCCCTGTGGTGGGAGTAAGCATGGCAACGCATGCAGCCTCAGTGTCACAATGTGCTAAATGCTGTCAGACAACCAAGGGGAAGATATGAGGACAGATAAATGATATGAGGACAGATAAATGATTTGAGGGGTAGGGAGGCAGCGGGAATTCCAGGAATGCTTCACAGCAGCTGATGGAGTGATTTTAAAAGTTAGAATGTGGAAGTGGCCAGAATTGAAGGAACACAGATTGTGGAGGGATGGGATGATGTTAGAAACAGCTGGCTTTATCTCCTGATTTTATGACAATGACATCCTTGTTCAAAACCATTATTATGCTGCGACTATTCAAATCCTTCCTGGATCTTTCCAAAACAAGCTACAAGTCTGGTAGTTCCACTACTAGCCTGTGCTATGGCACCACATCTTCGCTGAGATTTCTGTTAATTTTTAAAAGCCAAAAAAAGTAGTCACTGGGAAGTGTTGAAGCTATTTGTGGTTTTCCTCATTAGCACAATGGACAGGTCTCTGCTGATTGTGTTCTGTAGGGGAGCATTGTGGGAGACTGATGAATGCACTGCATCTCAGGTGAGAGAGGCAGTACCACAACATAATTGTTCTCGATGATACTGTATGGTATGAGTTACTGATCTCTGAGGCACGCTGTGGTAGTGATCGTATCAGACTCTCTGGTACAGAGAGGGGCAAGTTTGGAGAAAAGTCCGCCTTGAACAGATGCAATTTTGCTATCCGTTCGAGAAACGATGATACGGGGTGGAGGGGACCCAAAAGCTGGGTTTGTTTTCCATTCCTACAGCCTCCTCCGTTTGTTGTGTTTCAGGGAGTGCAGAGTGCATGAAGCTGCTCATTGATGTCGGAGCAAATCTGGAGGCTTACGACTGCCACTTTGGGACCCCGTTACATGTGGCTTGTGCAAGACCACACGTGGACTGCGCAAAGCTGCTGCTCAATGCAGGTGTGTGTGTGTGTGTGTGTGTTTTTTCTTTCTGAACCATAATGGAGGCAGTTCCTGTGGGCATGTAGGAAACTTAGATTCCTTTGAATTTTGATGCCACTTAAATTGTCATACGTGCTTCCTGTTTCCACCCTCTGTGTGTGGTTTGTATGTTCTCCCTGTGTCTGCATGGGTTTCCTCCTGATTGCTGCAGTTTCCATCTGCAGTCCAAAGATGTGCAGGTTAGTTGGATTGGCCATGCTAAATTATCCATAGTGCCCAGAGATGTTTGGGCCAAGTGGATTAGCCGTGGGAAATGCAGGATTGGGTAGGGGGCTGGGTTTGGGTGTGATGCTCTTCAGAGGGTCAGTGCAGACTCTATGGGCTGAATGATCTCTTCCGCACTATAGGGATGGTATGATTCTAATTCAAATCAGCTACCCACTACCCTAGGATGGTGGTATATAACTCTTCCCTCAAAGTCTCTGTTCGCTGCGCCTGTGTCCTTTATGATCAGTCTCCTCAAGAGTTGAGTTGTTGATTCTAATATTACGGAATATGACAAACTGCTTTGGGCCAGTTCACAGCCTGAGGATGCCCAAGGTGCTATATGAATGCAAGCTTGTCCTTCTGCTTTAGAATGTGGTTGTTCTGTTTCAGGGGCGAATGTGAATAGTGCTAAACTCCATGAAACTGCACTTCACCTTGCAGCCAAGACAAAGAATGTGGATTTGATCAAAATGCTCATTGACTATGGAGCCAATGTTTATGCACAGGACAACAGAGGCAGGCTGCCTTTGGACTATACACAATCTGGATCACCACCCTCGGCTTGTCTGCAGTATTACCAGAGTAAGAATACTTAGCGTAAAGAAACAATGTGGCATGGATTTGAAAATGATGACTCCATCCAGTGCTCAGTGTGAACCAAACCATACAGATCACTGAGATCCCAAGAACTGATTTGGCCTGGGAGTGTTTTTTCAATCTTTCCATGGGTCTTGAACTCTTTATTTTTTATGTTCATTCACGGGATGTGGGCATTACTGGCCAGGCCAGCATTTATTGCCCATTCCTAATTGCCCAGAGGTCAGTTTAAAAGCGAACCAAATTGCTGTGGGTCTGGAGTGGCATGTAAGCCAGACCAGGTGAGGACAGCAGATTTTCTTCCCTAAAGGTCATTAGTGAAACAGATGGGTTTGAAAGACAATTATGATTTAATGGTCATTGTCAGCTTTCAATTCCACATTTATTATTTGAATTGAACTTCCACCAGGTGCCATAGTGGATTTGAGCTCATGCCCCTATGGTCTTAGTCTGGGTCTCTAGTTATTCGTCAAATGACATGACCAGACCCCACCCTCTGTGTGTGGTTTTTGTTCTCCCTGTGTCTGCATGGGTTTCCTCCCAGTGCTCCAGGTTCCTCCCGCAGTCCAAAGATGTGCAGGTTAGTTGGATTGGCCATGCTAAATTATCCAGAGTGTCCAGAGATGTGTAGGCCAGGTGAATTAGCCATGGGAAATGCAGGATTGGGTAGGGTCTGGGTTTGGGTGTGATGCTCTTCAGAGGGTCAGTGCAGACTCGATGGGCTGAATGGTCACTTTCGCACTGTAGGGATGGTATGATTCTAATTCAAATCAGCTACCCCCTACCCTAGACTTGCATAATCAGAAAAGACTGATGGAGAACTTGGGAGCAAACCAGCTGTCAGCCAGTATGTCACGGACTCGAATCCTCCCCCCTCCAAAGCCAATATAAGATCCAACCCTTTGGTTGAATCAGGGCTATACAAGTGCAGTGGTTATTGTAATATGTGAATATACTGCCACAGTGTGGCCAGTTGAGGGAATAGACAACACTTGATCCCTTAATTGAGTATCAGAAAATCCTAGGTGTTTAATGTTGTTTAGTGTAATTTCTGCCTTGTTTGGTGCATTTTATGATTTGTTGGAAGTGAAATTTAATGAATAGGGTGCTGAGTTAGAACATGCAGTGTATTTTTTTAATGAATCCATCAAACAGCATAACGTGCTGGATCCTGTTTGTCAACTCGTGTTCTTACCAAATATTGTGATTTTTGAGATGGTGCATGTGTGTCCATCTGTCTCTTAATTATTGTTCTTAATGTGTGTTTCTTTTAATTTTAGAAACGCCGCTGAGTTTATCACACCACTGCAGAATGACCCTAAGGAAAGCTCTTGGCCCTCAGAGATTGCATGCGATTTACCAGTTAAACATTGCCCCAAAACTCATCAGCTATCTCCGCTATGAGTGAAGCTGGTTGAGACTCAGAATATTAATGGGCACTTGTGATGCATTGATTTAAATGCCCAATTGACAGTTTTTATGAACACTTGCTTGCATTTACTGCCAACAGAAGGCAGGAGACTGCAAAATACACTAAATTAGACAGTAACCTCCAACATCTCCCTCCAAATGCAAATGGTGACTCTCAGCTATGAAGATTGCTGAACTTTTCCTGATGGCAACAGAAAACACTGTTAACTCAGTTGCTCCCAGGGATAAATTTAAATCCTATATGTACAATTCAAATATTTTTAAACTTGGCTCCATGGAAATCTCCATTTATTAATACAGATTGTCTATTGACACCACTTGTTCCATCAGTTCTGAGGAAGGGTCATTGGACCCGAAACGTTAACTCTTGTGTTTTTTCCTTCACAAATGCTGCCAGACCTGCTGAGCTTTTCCAGCAACTTTGTTTTTGTTCCTGATATACAGCATCTGCAGTTCTTTTGGTTTTTATTTAGTGTTCCATGATTGAGTTGGAAACAAGGCAGGACTTGACAGCAGAACTTGCAACAATGTTTTCAACAAGAAACTAAGCTTACTTAAAAAAAAACAAAGCAAATATAATCTATTTACAGAATCTACTTTAAATAAGTCTCTTGTAAACAGAACTCAGACCTAAACAGTTTAGGAGAATGAGGGGGGAATCTTCTAGAAACCTATAAAATTCTAACAGGACTAGACCGGGTAAACACAGGAAGCATGTTCCAGATGACCCAGGGAGTCCACAAATAGGGGTCACCGTTAAAGGATATGGAGTAGGCCGTTGGACTGAGATGAGGTGAAATTTGTTTACCCAGAGAGTGGTGAACCTGTGGAGTTCTTTGCCAAAGAAAGTGATTGAGGCCAAAAAATTGCATGTTTTCAAGAAGGAATTAGATATAGCTCTTGGGGCTAAAGCGATTAAAGGGGAAAGGGAGAAAGTTGGAACAGGACACTGAGTTGGATGACTAATAATGATCATTTTGAACGGCAGAGCGTGCAGAAGGGCTGAATGGCCTACTCCTATTATGAGTTTCTATGAACGCATGACTGAAACTACAGCAATTTGCCCAGTAAAAGCGGGATGATTGTTTTCTTTCCAACAAACTGCAGTTAACTAAACAGCTAAATGCAGATTGTGGCTCGACTGGTGAATTAATGAATGTGAGAATTCAGAAACTGGAAAATGTATTGTGCAATATTGCAGAAATATTTATTACAACCTTTGGTTGTAAGTCTACTTACACCTCACCTCAGTTTGGTCGGAATCTTCCATGGCAAGTTTGGTGATGGTGAGTGAGGCATTTAACCAGGCGGAAGGTGAGCACTTTTCCATATTCCCGAATTAAATCCGGGGCAAGAATCTCCTGGGAAAGCCTCTGCATCCATTGGTAATTGAAGCCTTTATATGGCCAATTAATGCCCATTCAAGGTTTTCATGCTGATGGCCCTGGTGTAAACCTTGTGGCAGGTGTAGGTCTTACTAAACAGATAGCACTACGAACGTACAGAGTGGGGCAGTGGGATCGTTTTGGGGTTTGATGCATGTGGAAGAGTGTGGGTCACTGGAATTGGTTTGAGGAATAAGGTACATTGATGAGAGTGGGGCAATGAGATTGCTTCACCTGTATGGACTTGCTAGAGGGCTGTTGGTGTCCTTTTTTTAAATCATGCAGTGGAAGGTGGGTGTCACTCTCTCTTGGGCCAGCATTAATTGCCAAAGGCACTGATTGAGGGGCTTGGCATCAGGAAGGGATGGTCATGTGCTCTGCCATCCAGCTAACTGAAATGCAAAAGGACATTGTAAAAACCATTTTCTGCAGAACGGTCTAGGCCTGAAACGTCAGCCTTCCTGCTCCTCTGATGCTGCTTGGCCTGCTGTGTTCATCCAGCTCTACACCTTGCTATCTCTTGTAAAAACCCATCAGGTTCACCATCTACAGTGGTGACATGGTCCCCATTGGACTAGGTTTTTTAACTTTATTCCAGTTCTTTAAAGTTGAATTTGAGTTTCACCATCTACCATGGTTGGATTTGAACCTGTATCTACAGACATTAGCGTGAGGTTCTGAATTACTAGCCAGTGACATTACCACTGCACTGTTGTTGCCCCTTGAGCCCCTTTTTCCCAGCAGTCTGTTCTGTAAATTTAAAGGTCCAGCATCACAGCCAGACACTTTGACAGTTAATGTCCTGAGTAAGAGTTGACTTAACTTCAGAAGAACTCTCCGATTTTAAATGGATACTTTCAGAGGATTCCGGGTGTAGGGGAACTGCCCAGTTATTCCCTGGCAATTCATTCAGAGTCTGCTACATTGGGAATTCTGCTGCTCTCTCATTCCCAGAAATGATGATCTGGCCATTGAAAATGTCAGGTCTCTATGTTATGATATAGGTGGCAGTCCAGGGTTGAAGGAACATTGAAATTTTCTGAAAAGCTAACATTTGATAAATGTTAGAAACTGACAAGCTTTCTCTGTTTTTGTTATTTCCTGCCTTTTCTAGGCACCAGGCAAGGTGTAGCTAAGGTAAACTGTCTAAAAAGAGAGTGGTGCCTTTGTATCTTCAGATGCTAGTCATCTGCTTAGGCTGGCTATGTTGTTGTTATCACAGCTATGTGCAACATACCTTTTTAAGAGACATGCTGAACACGTCATCACCATATCATAGCATGTGACCTGATGGTAGAAAGGTCTCAGTCTCCAGCTTACTGGATCCACTTGCAGCATGACACACTGAAGGGATTGTGCTAGTTTTTAACTGAATTGCTCAGCACTAGCCCAGACATGAAAGTGTCTATGATTGTAATATATGTAGATACCAACGGCTGTAATAAATGTCTATTGAATCTTTCAGTATGAAGTTGCTTGTGTCTACTTCTTTATACTCCAGACACTAACATAAATATCACTTCTTCAGGTACAAACACCCAACTGAAGGTAAAAACCTTGCACTGCATCTATGGCAAATCAGATGAAACACCTATGAGGAGCAAAACTGGAAATTGCTGGAGAAACTCAGAAGGTCTGGTAGCATCTGTAGAGAGAACTGAGTTAATGTTTTGAGTCCAGTGACTCTCCTTCTGAAGATGTTGCCAGACCTGCTGTGTTTCTGTTGTTTGATTTCCAGCATCTGCAGTTCTCTGTTTTGTTTTTCTCATGTAAGGAGAATGGATGTAGTAATGAGATGGTGGTATGTACCACGATGTTACAGTGACTTCACTCCATGTAAAAGAGACTGAAGAAAGAATGGTGTGTGCTGAGATGTACATCTGGAGAGTAGTGTTATGACCAATAATGTTAAGTAAAGAATTTATAGAAATTGAGAGTTGGTCAGCAGTCACTTCAGGGAAAACCATTACTGGCTGGAAAAACCAGCATCAGCAAGGATCACCATCTCTCCATTGTGTCTAACAGGACTCTGAGCCACAAGTCCTTGTGGCAACATAAACCACAAATGATGCTGTTGCCAGAGGACCGTCATGAAGGGACTCGGTTGCTTTTGGTGTCAGTTGAAAGATAAATATTGGTTACAACAGATATGTCTCATTATTCTTCATCTCTGACCGCTTTGAAGAGCAGGGACTGTTGTAGACCAGGTAAACGTGGTGCCCATTTAGTGCACAACCATACCATCTGCCAATTAAACTAATCATAGGTTAGCTTTGTAACTAACAATATTGATCAAAGGCAGGAATCCTTGCATTGGAATGCCTGCAAAAGAAAAGCTGTTTTGGCCTTGTCCTCCCCACTTCGTTCCCCTGTTGCCAGTAGGGCTGAGGGGTTTGGGGGCTGGATTAAAGCAAAAATGTAACTCCAAAGCCAATAACTACTTCTGTCTAGAAGGATGAAGGCAGCAGATGTATGGAAACCCCGCCGACTGCCAGCTCAGCTCCAACTCTCACAACTTCTGGGCATGTAGTTGTACTGACATTCCTTCCCTGTCACTGGGTCCATATCCTGGAACCTTTCTTGAGAGCATTTTTGGATGCCCTTACCTCCCGTGGACCACAGTGATTACAGAAAGCAGATCGCCATCACTTTCTCAAAGGCAATCGGGAATCAGCGAGCCAAGTTGCAGCCAAACAACAAATTTAAATTAAAAACTAATCCATTGTCACAGATGCCAGGAAGTGACAGACACAAATAGAGAAGAGCGTTAACATAGCATATCAGGCCGGCCTAATATTGATGTGAAGATCTAGAAATGAAAGAGAAGTTTGATTATACTTCTGTGTATCCTCCTCTGTGAAAGTAATTTAGTGACGTAGGATTTGAAGAATGCTGGAGATTGCAGTCAAATAGCAAGGACTAACACATATAACCACCAGCTAATAGCTATTGAGTGCCATTCGACTATAAGGAGGCTTCACAAATGTATCCAACCCAAGCTTCAGCACAGGTACACACATGCTTACAATCAGGAGCACTGATATCATACACATGGGCTGTGACACATTGGTAATGTCCTTACCTCTAGTGCAGGAGAACTGGGTTTGAGTCCCACCTGCTCCAGTGCTGTGTTGCAACATCTCTAGACATGTTGAATAAAAATGTCTGTCTTCTAGGCATCTGTTTTGATGTGTGACGTTGAAATAGAGGCACAGATACACAACATCCTGCTAATGAATGTGATTATTTGGAGAGTGAGTGCTTATTGTGGAGGCCCACCAGGTGGCTCAGTGGTTAGCACTGCTGCCTCACAGCACCAGGGACCTGGGTTCAATTCCACCCTCAGGTGATTGACTGACTGCATGGAGTTTGCACATTCTCCCCATGTCTGTGCAGGTTTGCTCCAGTTCCCCCAAACCCCATAGTCCAAAGAGTGTAGGTTAAGGTGGATTGGCAATCTAAATTGCTTATAGCATCCAGGGATGTGCAGATTAGGTGCTAGGTGGATTAGCCATGAGAAATGCAGAGTTACATGCAGGTCTGGGTGGAATGCTCTTCAGGGGGACAGTGTAGATTCAATGGGCCAAGTGGCCTGCTTCCATACTGTGAGGATCCTTTGATTCAATCATATTGCACAAAAGTGTCACAAACAGGTTGTTTATATTCTCCAACATGGCAAAACATTTTCTTGCAAATATGGGTCATTCAGCCGATGAAGCCCACACCCCACACAGCCTGCTCTGGTGGACTTTTGTCTAACCTCTCAGTTCTTGACAAAGTGCGGTTCTGGTGCTCAAAAATTTTATTGATGACAAATCAAGTTAAAAAGATGAATGCACTTTTTGTTTGTAATTTTTTTTATTACGTGCATTTTGTTAACTGTTGTGTTGGTGGAATTGAAGCTGAAATGAGATCAGCTATGACTGTACGAAATGATGAAACAGGCTCAAGGGGCTGAATGGCTTACTCCTGCTTACAGTTCTTAAGTATTCAAATTTTTTTAATTAGTAGCAATATTATTGTATTTACAACAATAAGAAACCTGATGGTGTTATGTTGGCTTAAAAAAGTTTAAAAAATGCAATGAATGTCCAAAACAGAAAATGGGCATATTTATATTTGCAAAAATAAGATTGATTCAAAAATTTGTTCAAGGTCTGTAGCTGAACATGAATCCTTATTGAGCTGTATGTGGCTCCAGTTATATGTTGTAGATGAGTTGGATAGATGTACCAGTGAGATTACAGCCGAGAGTCAACTATAGGGCAGCCTACAAATGCAGTTCTGTTCATTTCCATTAAACTAAAAGCAAAACTCCTTCCACACTCACAAACTCCACAGTTGTTGCTATGTGTATACCTTGCATTTAGGAGAATTCTTGTTTGAGGACTCCATGTGCTGGGTGTACATAATGTTGTGACCCTTCCTGACAGTCTGCTGAGGGCTTGCAAAGTGCCCAAACCAAAATGGGTTGGTTTGCTCCAATTGAATCAGAGATAGTAGGAACTGCAGATGCTGGAGAATCCGAGACAACAAGGTGTAGAGCTGGATGAACACAGCAGGCCAAGCAGCATCATAGGAGCAGAGAGGCTGATGTTTCGGGCCTAGACCCTTCATCAGAAAAGGGGGAGGGGAAGGGGGTTTTGAAATAAATAGGGAGAGAGTGGGAGGCGGATAGAAGATGGATAGAGGAGAGGATAGGTGGAGAGGAAACAAACAGGTCGAAGAGGCAGGGATGGAGCCAGTAAAGGTGAGTGTAGGTAGGGAGTTAGGAAGGGGATAGGTCAGTCCCAATTGCTGGTCCATACACATACATTTACTGGCAGCAGCCACTAGATGATGATCAGGAGCTGACAATCTGCTCAATTTTCTGCTTTACAGTCGCAAATTCAGAAGCAAACTCAGGGCAGGCATTAATACTGGGATCTTTCTGATCTCTAGAGCCAGCCTTGGCATTAAACCAATGTTACATAAATAATCACTGCCTTACAGTAGGGAGCATTAATGCACCCCACCCCCCAAAAAAGGCTCACATGGAAGTAAAAGTGTAAGTAAACGTCTCGCCTAAATGCAATCCAACTCAAACTGTCCATATACGGTTTTAAGAGACAAATATTTGGGGTGTGTGGAGAGGTTTGGATTTTTGACTCAGTAAAAAGGGGGCCCTCATTTAAAGAAAGGAGTGTTCTCGTGAGGCTGAAGGATATCTTGCTGCCTGTTTCACTGACGCAATAATTGCTTTTCATCGAAATCTGACAAACAAACAAGCCTAATGTGGGTCTTATCTTTCACTCACATTTTATCAGGTTGCCCTGTGTTGTTTAGTCTCACTGCTTTGTCTGTGGAGGTTGGTTGGCTCGCCGGGCTGTTTTGTTGTGGAACAACAAAACAGCTCAGCGAGCCAACCAACCTCAACACCCACAACCCGAGCTACAGATCTACTCCAAAACCTTAGACTGCTTTATCTGGACAGGCAAAAGGAGGAACTCCATTGGAGAGATTTAACAAAGCGTTTGTGCACATCCACACAATGCTTCATTTTTAATACACACAGATGACAGTGTGAGATCTAAGTTCAGTAATGATGTGGAGGTGTCGGTGTTGGGCTGGAGTAGACAAAAATCAAGAAATCACATGACACCAGGTTATAGTCCAACAGGTTTATTTGAAATCACACAAGCTTTCAGAGCGCAGCCTCTTCGTCAGGGCAATGCTCTGAAAGCTTGTGATTTCAAATAAACCTGTTGGACTATAACCTGGTGTCGTGTGACTTCTGACTAAGTTCAGTAAGATCCCAGATAAGATGCCCAGCTTCAGTTGAATCACTTGATTTTCACATCAGGTAGTTTATAAGGAGAAGAGGGAAGAGAAAATGAGTAGTAAGGATTCATGCTCCTGATTACAAGCGTGTGTGGGTGTGTGGGTGTGTGTCTGTGTGGGTGGGTGTGTGGTGGGGAGGGGGGAGAGGTGTTGCCTATGCTGAAGTTCAAGTTTGAGCAGTTGCAATGCCTTCTGTGGGTCAATTTCCTAATGGCACTCGATAGTTATAAGCTGCCAAGTGCAGTCATTGTTGGGGTAACATACCAGGTCTGTGTCCCCGTAAAGGTTTGGACAGGTCAAAGGAAATTTATAAAAAACAGTTCTGAAGAAGGGTCACCGGACCTGAAATGTTACCTTTGCTTTCCCTGCACAGATGCTGCCAGACTTGCTGAGTTTCTCCAGCAATTTCCGATTTTGTTTAAAGGGAAATAAAGGCAGATGAGAAGAGGATTTGGAAAAAAAAACAAATAAATCCACCACTTGAAGCTTGGTCAGCAATTGAACTAATTAAGCGTGTAGTGTGAAGAAATGCTGAACCACATAGTTTTGTAGGTACAGCTGGGCTGTATTGAAGTGGTAGACAGCAGTGGAGCAGGGGCATAGAATAAATGTAGTCTGAAACACTGAACATTACTCTGTTAACA